CGGGCGCAGGAGCCGGGGGCGGCACCGACCTGCAGCGGCCCTGCGGGACCCGCTCGGCACCGGCACTGCGCGGGGACTAGCACCGGCACCGCACGGAACACGGATGGCACCGGCACTGCACCAGGTCCGGGACTGCCCGGGACTGGCATTGCACGGGGAACCCACGCTGAACCGGCACTACGCAGGCCTGGCACTGCCCAGGGCCCCACACTGGCCGGGGACTGGATCTGGATTGCAGGGGGACTGGCACTGCATCAGCACTGGCACAGCACGGGAACAGGCATTGCACAGGACCTGGCACTGCGGCACTGCCCGGGGACCAGCACCCCACTGGCACCGCACAGGGCCAGCACTGTACGGGGACCAGCATTTGCACCAGCACTGGCACTACATGGGCACTGGCACCGCGTGGGAGCTGGCACGGCACTGGTTGGGAACCAGCACTGCACCAGCACCAGCACCATGCAACCACATCAGCACTGTGCAGGGACCAGCGCTGGCACCACGGCGGCACCACGTGCAGTGCACTGGCCTGGCACCAGCGCTGCACCGGAACGGGCGCTGGCACTGTGCCTGCAGCGCTGGCACGGACACCCTGTGCACCACACAGCGCGTGCACACACTGCGCCTCTTTGTGCACCCACTGCAGGCGTCGCAGACGGAGACGCTGCGCCCTGCACATGGCCCGGGGTGCAGCCAGCCCATGCTCATGCACTGCAGCCCTGCACGGACACAGGGACATCGCGTGTGCAAATGGACACACGCACACACAGAGCGCAGGCACTGCAGCCTTGCACACGCGCTGCACACAAACATCTCCAACTGGCACACATGCCGCTGCACGCACGACACATGGGAACCCCATCACGGCACAGAGCAGTGCACTGACACGCTGCACGCGTGGAGACCCTGCACACGGGACACGCACTACATGTGAGTCCCTGCACACGCATCGCACCCCGGCACACAGGACACACTGCACATAAGGAGGGACCGTGCACTGCACGTGGGATGCAGCACACATGCGCAGCACACGTGTGACCACCCTCTCCCCCTGACACCCCCCACCTCCTGGGGAAGCGGGGGCAGGACGGGGTGCACCCCCCACGTTGCCAACCGAAGCGCTACGGGGGTGCGGTGGGTGCCCCCCACCCACCCTGGCCCCGCAGGCTCCCCGGGCTGCGCGGTGGCCGGTGGGGCCACGTGGCGGGCTCAGGCCGCCCCCACTCGTCACACGCATGACCCCCCCCCCCCAGCCGTGAGTCACTTCCCAGCAATGCTGCGGCTAGGGCCTGTGGGGAACTGGGGGGGGAGGCCCCCGCCATGCGCCTCCCAGTG